TAACAGAAGAATTCCATCACATCGTTTTTAGTAAAAAAAAACTGACATTTTACTGAGTATGGTATATAGAAACATAACGATAGAGAAGTGGAAGTAGAGTTCTCAACTCTACTGGAATGCCCGGGAGTCTCCGGAAATAATGTGATAAATCGCTCGTAGTAGGTAGCGACTTCCCTCTCCCCGCGTGCCGTTCCTTTATTTGTTTTTTGTTAAATATGTAAAGAAGAAGTACTAAATATTCAACCGAGCTGGTTTCGTCGATAGTTGCGTGGAAGTCATCTAAGAACTCAGAGCACTTAAACGTACAGAAATTATTGAACTTTCTACAAAACGATTATGTTAATCGATTTGGATGATTTACCTCTAAATGTCAGACAAAAAATGTGTATATAATTGGATGAAGCTCCCTCACATTTCGGGAGAGAAGTCAGGGAATAGCTAGACATGAATTATCCTGCCTGCTCGGTTTCCCATTCTAAATCTATTGAATTATTTTTTATGTTCCAGTTTGAAACTAAACGTATATCCATCTCCAGTGAATAATGTTGATTATATAATTCATTAGAAATTTAGCCAATAGCAATTACAAATTTTACGTAGTTACTATGTATTGATATGCGATTATACTCTTGACGACGTGGTATAATAGCCCGAGAGCCAGCGACCTTTTTTGATGACCAAAAGAGCAAAAGCTGAAAAGTTTTCCTACGCTTCATTTGGTGTCGCTAGTAAGAGAAACGACCTCCAGCTCGCGCACTTCCGGGGGGTATAGTTGCGGCAGCCTCCCAAACACGTAAAATAATAAAATAAAAAAACTAATACCGCAAAAGCTGAGACTTTGTCGACAAGTTAATTATGTTATAAACAAAAGAAAAAACGCAATCCGCTGACTTTAGAGTGGGGGGTTATGCCTCAGCTTTTCACCTAAAGAAGTCAAAAATATGCGCTAGGTAAACTGATACCGCAAAAGTTGAAATTTGGTAAAGTAATAGTCAACTTAACCAGTTATACGAAAAAAATGGTCCGCTGAAGTTTTTGTGGTGTATAAGTGCTCAGCTGACGAGTTGAAGGCGCAGCACATCGCTATGCGCGCGGGCGCGTTGCATCATTAACATTATCAGCTGAGCACTTTTCCCTCACTATATATAAAGCTGAGTATTTTTTTCATTTAACTTATTAAATTAGCTATTGTATTAACAAATTTCAGCTTTTGCGGTATGAGATATCTATAATTTTTCTATTTTTTAAGTCTTAGTAGTAATTATATAAAAATATACAACTTTTTTCGAATATTTATTTACAATAAATGATCTCACGAGTTTTTCAATTCAAAGAATTTTAATAAATATTCACATTTAAATACTTATGTTTGCATAACAAAATTATAAACAGTAAATATATGTATGTAATGTACATATAGATAAAGTTAGATAACCACTTCGGAAATTACAATCGCATGAGTACAAAACTGGATATTCGGTTCATAGTTTGAAAGATTCCTTTTTCCTCACCTGAACGTCATGGGTCCCAGCATCCAATACGTCCCCTCTCCTACTCCAATCTGGCTAACATGAGTGCCATAAGTAATCCTAATGTTAAAGTTTCAATGGAAGCCGGAGTCGGTAATAATCAGCGTTTTATTAACATAAGTCATCTATATAAAACACTAGGCCCTAAATTAAGCGCAGCACTGCCAGCTTTTCATGCCCTCACAGGTTGCGATTACAACCCATCATTTTTCAAAAAAGGAAAAACTCGGCCCTATAAGCTTTTACGCAACTCTGAAGTTTTCATCGATAGTTTTATTAAATTAAGCAACGTACCTGATGGAGGGATGCAGAATACATTTGATAGTATAGAAGAATATGTTTGTCGAATGTATGGATTTAAAAAAATTAACAAAGTCAACGAGGCTCGAGTTGCAACATTTTTGAAGACATATAATATTTTAAGAAACGATGACATATTCCATTTGCCAAAAAATAATATCGACGGATCAGCTCTACCGCCTTGCAAAATTGAACTGCACCAACATTTGCTGCGGACAACGTATATTGCAAATATTTGGGCACACGCTCATCTTCAGGTCCCAACAGAATTATATCCGACTGATTTCGGCTGGGAAGAGAAGGGGAACAAATTTATTTTTAAATGGTTCGAGGGTGAACAGCTGCCCTCTTCCCTTGGAGATATAATTATCGAGGATGAACAAAGAAATAGTAGAGGTTAGAATATACTAATATATTTCGCTCTATAATGAAATTTAATTATTTAAGTGTAAATTTTTGATTATTTAATTTACATATATGTAAAATACAATTTAAAAATATTTAAAAATATTCGTACTATATGTAATTATTTTTTATAATTAACGTTTTTTTAATAATATAACATAAAACACACCACAGAAATGAGACAACCCCCAAATCCAAAGCCAGAGGCTGTGCGGAAGGGGGTTACACTTGAAAAAACGCGGACAAACACCCTTTATCCATCGACATTGCCAGTGCCGACACCAGGGATCGAACCCGGACCAGAATAGGAAGTCTGGCCGAGAAATGCCTGCCACGGCATGCTCGACCGACTTCGCTACCGTGGTTATTATTATTACCATTATTATTATATATTTACAGATGATGAGGAAGAAATGGCAGGAATCGACATTGACTCCAGCGACCATGAGTTTGAGGGTGATGAATCGGAAGATGAAATAGATTAAATTTTTTCATACATAACGTTTACTGTAAATAAATATTCGAAAAAAAGTTGAATATTTTTATATAATTACTACTAAGACTTAAAAAATGGAAAAATTATAGATATCTCATACCGCAAAAGCTGAAATTTGTTAATACAATAGCTAATTTAATAAGTTAAATGAAAAAAATACTCAGCTTTATATTTAGTGAGGGAAAAGTGCTCAGCTAATAAAGTTAAAGATGCAATGCCCCGCACGTATAGCGATGTGCTGCGCCTTCAATTCGTCAGCTGAGCACTTATACACCACAAAAACTTCAGCGGACCATTTTTTTCGTATAACTGGTTAAGTTGACTATTACTTTACCAAATTTCAGCTTTTGCGGTATCAGTTTATCTAGCGCATATTTTTGACTTCTTTAGGTGAAAAGCTGAGGCATAACCCCCCACTCTAAAGTCAGCGGATTGCATTTTTTCTTTTGTTTATAACATAATTAACTTGTCAACAAAGTCTCAGCTTTTGCGGTATTAGTTTTTTTATTTTATTATTTTACGTGTTTGGGAGGCTGCCGCAGCTAAACCCCCCGGAACTGAGCGAGCTGGAGGTCGATTTACTTACTAGTGATACCAAATGAAGCGTAGGAAAAATTTTCAGCTTTTGCCAAATGACTACCTCAAAACGGTTGCTGGCTCTCGGGCTATAACCGTTTTGGTGTTTCGCCTCCTCCAACAATGTGAACTATGTCATGGTAACGATACTTTTTAACATTTGTCAATAAACGTTAAAAAAAAAATAGAACGCTAGTTAATTCATTATGTAATCGTATTGAATACCACTCGAGCAAACGAAAATATTCGATTATACTAACCTCCTCACTCGACGTATATCCTTAAAACACAACTCCAGCTACGCTGTCGTGGTGTTTCGCAGAATACGTCGCGTGACTCGGAAGTATAATCGAATATTTTCTATGCTCTTGTGATATTATAACTGAATATATCAGAGAATACATTTTACAGAACTGCAATACTTTAAAAATGTAATAAACAGAACGACAGTAAATAATTTACTGAAGCAATGCCCGGCTTGTATTAACGTTCGTGGGTGGTATTTTGAGCAACTACACTAATTTGATCTTAATGCTAATCCAATTTAGAGTATTTTGTTTCAGTTAAATTCTACTTATTAAATCTACAAATAAATAATGGATCTTATTATGCAGGGTGGTACAACTTTTTTTCTAACTTAAAGATACTAAGTGGCCATCATACCTCTACCATTGGTTGTTGAAAGACCTTGATACTCACACATTTTATAATACCTTAATTGTATACAGTGTATGTATACCAAATATTTTGCTAACTATACAAAACACTTCATAATTTTTTTTAAATAAGAAAATCATATAACAAACTGGCAACATTTTTGCAAAATTATGTTCTTTATTTATGTGTTTCTTAATTGCAAATTTATTTTCTATAAAAGAGAAATTTCTTTATTGCATAAACAGTATAAGTTTAATTTTGGTACCACTTAGACAAAGTGGTACATATAATTTGTAATTATAATAACAATAAAATTATATGGCGAATGCTTCCAGTAAATAATAAAAACATTTCAAACATTAACATACATTTTATTTAGTGCTGCTTTAAAGCAAAACCTTAATGTTGCTTATTGTTATTCTGTAATCACAGGAAACTTGTAATCAGGAACAGTAGCAACAATTACCATAAATTTAAATAATGGTCATCAGACATGCAGTAAATAATTAGTTTGTTAAATATTAGTCGAGAATATTTTTAGTTTCCATTAGTTAGTCCGAAAGAAAACATTCTGCTTTATGATAAAAAAAAACATTAAATAAGCACATTATATAGCATGGATTTTAAATTAACAAATAACAAGTAGGTATTCAGCGATCATTGCAGCGTAACACTGATATATTTGTTAAATTCGTAATTAAACGATTTATTAAAATCAAAAAAAATTTAAACGCTAATTATAATCTAGATAAGTGAAAAATACCTAGTACTCAAAAGTTTTTTAATAATTTGCATAGTTAGACAAATTTACAAAGCAAATCTTAGAATATAAAATATGTTAATTAAGGGAGATATCATTTCAATTTATTGCAAAAGATGTTTTTATACTGTAGTTATTAGTAACATTAGTGTTTTCAGAATTAAAAATAACTGATTTTGCTCGTTAAAAAATGAGAAAATGTTAAGTACCTATTTCAGAAAAATGGGTGACATTAAAGTACAACTAATATTTTTTTATGTTGACGAGTCACACTCACCTGTTTTCTGGACAATCTAGTAGTTCTACTGCCTTGTATAACAATATCATGGGAAGTTATATCCATACGCTGTTCCCAACCACTTGTGGGGTCCCTTTCTTGCTGTTCGATGCTAGTTTGTAGATGTGCAATACATGGAGCTGAATCCATATACAAGAAACATAAGTTCACCTTATGGCAACTGATTTTACCTCGATCATCAAGAGCTATTACAATCTTATGCCGCAGTAGCTGCTTATTAACGTGGGCCAGACACCTTTCTAAATTTCTTTGTAATTTAAATTTTAAGTACATTGACAGAAAAATTGCACCAGCATTCAATACCAGCCAAGCAATACCCAATCCAAAGAGAATCAGACCTGTCAGGCCCGAAAATAATAGTCCCAATAGAACAAGAAATGCTAGTGTTATCCATACTACCAAAATTCTTTTATAGCAGACATTATAAAGTGAAAAACGCACATCGTTTACTAACAATTCCATTGCTTGCACATATTCTTCCACTGTCAGCTAAAAAAATTATTGCATTTCAGATTATAAAATATTTTTAGGTTAAGCTAAAGAATAATTACGTATTGATACAAATGAATTAAATAGGTTACAAACTATAAAGAAAAATAATAAAATAATCATTAAAAAAAAGAAAATATTAATTTTTAATATGAAGCTAAAGATGGTTTTTATTATCCCAAATTTTATAAAATTTTATTTCAATATACTCCATATTTGAGATAAACTAGGTACAAAACATTTATCTATTTAAAAAATTTCCTAATTGGTGAAAAATAATTAAAAGACATGAAGTATTGCATGAATGGCGATACAAAGTTATTATATTTATTATAGCAGGTATTTCCTTGCCTGAAGTAATTATTGATAAAATTTTAATAGCACATCAAGGGTTATTTTCATAACCACAAGTATAAAAATGAAACATTTTTACTATACTTAAAAATATATAATTAATGCATTAGTAAAACAGTTTTTAAGGCCAATCCTGAATCGATTCATTAAAACACACAATAATGTAGATAAACGAATACTTTGTGTGTAGGTGATAACAGGAAGTAAAAATTATTTGGTATGTGACAGATTCTTTTTATGGTAATGTAACAGGTTATCGTTATGAGTATTGCATGCCATTCTTATCAGGTGCATGACTAAATTTTTAATCAAGAGAACATTTTTAAAATGTTTAAAGGATGAAGTACTATTATTTAAGTACAACATCATAATCAGAGACAACACTGCACTAAAATATATTTGTAATTTACAATATTTTTACTAATTTTTATAACATTAATGCCTAATTATTTAATTTTTGTGATTTAAGAATAATCAAAATTGTAGGTACTCTCCACAAGATTACCTAATATTGTTTTTACATTAATTTTCCTCTTGCTTAAAAATAAATATTTCTGCAGAAAATATCAACTTACAGTAAGGCCTTGAGCCATTAATTCTTCAGGCACTAGTTCAGGACGGAATTGTGCTGGTGTTACCCATGGGAAACGAGTATTTACAGGTAGAAGAGTAACAATAATATCTCCATTTGCTAAAAATAAATAAAACATTACTAAATGATCGAACGCTTTGGTTCCAACTTACAAAAGCCTTGTCTGATAGGTTCCACTGTTGCAACAGGTAGTTCCACATTTCTCAGTGGTTTTGGATCCAGAACAGCAACATTATTACTATCAGTTGATTTACTGAGGCTTCTCTCTAAATTAACCTGTACGCTTTCAGTTGTTATAACAGCAGGAGAATCTTTATTTTGTGTGGAATCTTCATCAAATTGTACCCAGCTTTGATTTGCAGGTGGCTGTGGAACAGGAGCCACAGTGTTGCTTTGACCCCCTTCAACTTTTTTCGTATTATTATTTTCACTCATTTTCAATTAAATATCACTATTCATACAAAACATATTAATTTCGTAGATTTATAATTTTGAGATATTCGTGAAACACATTAGTTTTAGACTAAATCCAATAACATTACATACAAATTTATATTAAAAATTAAAAAAATACTACTAGCACAACCATTTTGCGTATAAGAGCTTTCCGTATTCTTTTCACAGTTTTCACTTTTGCACTGACCCAGGGACCACTGACCGGCTTAGCGCTCAGCTAGTCATGAGACATGAGACTCATGAGCTACTCGCATGATATAAAGATCATAGAAGTCTATTACAGACAGAAAGTCAGAAACACAGGAACCACAGACCACCTAGACTGGCCGTATCTAATTCCAATGCACGGGTACCAGTGAATGCAAAATCCGGGGGAGAGGAGTGCGGAAGGCAATCTGATCGCGCGCATCTTTGAGCAGATCCGGATTAAGTAATATTTTTATTACATATTAAACATTATATTACATCTTATGAGAAATATTCAATTTTTAGTTTGTAATTCAGAAAATAGTATATTTTAGTGTCATATATTAAATAAAACTACAAAATAATTTAAATATATTTATTGTCCCTTAAATAACATTAATTTATTTAATATTTGCCCTTACAAGTTCTATTACATGATTACAATTGTTTGGCAAATTATCAAATTGATGTTCATGCAAATTTTCAAATATGTTCACATTCGGACATTTTTTTAATACATGATAAACAATTTTATTTTTCTGTAGCCTAGGTGTTCTGCTTTCATCATTATTTAAAAATTCTATTAATTTTTCCGTTTCTTAGCATATTACTACGACATCTCGAGATGGATACGTCAAACAACCACGATCTTTAATAAAAATTAATTGACTGTACGAATACTGAACCTGAAATGAGTTTTGTTTGCGATTTTTTTAATTGAAAAAAATATTTAATTAGTTTTCAGCTATCTCGAAATGACGGGAATTGGTAAAATTTCATAAAAATTTAAGACTCACATAAAGTAAACAATTAATAAAAATATTTTACAGTAATTCATTCATTATTTTATAATAACAATATCACGTTAATCACTACACTATGTGGGCGAACAAAATTGTAAAGCTAACCCTGGAAACTTGTGACGTTAACCGAAAAATGGCGTACATATTTACCTTGCATATATTCCCTTTTTTTACTTACCTAAAGAAGGAAACTTTTCGCCCCTCTTCACAAACTCGATCACTTCTATTTATACAATGTTTTTACAATATACTTGCCCATGATAAAACGTCTAATTATAGAAATCACAGCGATGCGTACACGTCAAATGCTAGGACACGACTGAGCGCTGGGCTCCAAATCAGGCTCCAAAGTGTTTTCACCAAAGTCGCTCTTTAAGCCAGTCTAAGTGGTCTGTGACAGGAACGAATATGGTCTTAGCATAATACTACATGCAGGAGGCACACTTACGGCGATAATAGTGTAGACCTGTGGTGTAGACGGTGACAGAAAGAAAATGATAAAGTACTTTGAAAGCTTTGCTCAAGACAATTGCACAATGAATCTTGCAGTAAACCTGGAGCTGATTTCAGCAGTAGGAGTATCATTTATCTAGGGCAGTAGGTACACAGCAGTCTTGTGCAAGATTTTGCTACTAGCAGGGCCCCCTACCTCAACTAAGCTAGCTTTTTAAAATACTTACAATCTGAAACCATGAATCTATAAATGTATTATTTTTAGAGTCTTCTTTACTTCACTTTGTCTTAGCTAACTTTATTTAGTAAAAATAATGCTACTTTTGTTTGTTTATTATCTTAATCAATCGTATAAGTCAATTAAAATTAAGAGAGAGAGCAAGAACCCAGCCTTTCTCTCTACAGCGTCTATACCCTTTATCACGCGGTGCTTCCTCCATGTAGATATGCTCTAATAATACAATAATAATACAATAGTACAATTTAAATTAGCGAAGATGTTGGAAGAGGAAACAAAGGCTGCTTAATGTTTCCTTAACTACAGATCATTGGTAGACAGATCTTATAATCATTAAATGACATTTTTTGGTTCCATGTTTTTTTTTCGCCGCTGTAATATGTTAGCGGTTTGATATATTAAGGTGTTGAGGAGTACAATAAATAAGTAAATTAAATCCTTGTCTTATTTCATCATTGTTTTAAGTTTTATTCATTTATGTTTTTTTGGAGTCGAAAAAACAGAACAAAATTGAAAAAAGATAATCCTAGTAAGACATCCAATGGGTTTAGGATAACGTGAACTTCCTAGGCGTCATAAAAAAACCATTAATATAAATTCACAATTGACAATTTTGAAATAGTTTTTGGGAACTTTTTCAATATAAATATGGCCCAATGTTAATTTATTTATTAACTCAGCATGTTGATGACCTGTACACCCATAAACAAGAACAATAATAAAATTAAACATGGTATATAAAAAATGCAACTAGTGAAGTTCATTCAATGAACGCGTTAAAAGGGGCGCTGTAACGCGCGTTTGCAGGAAGTAGAGTTAGCAATCTATAGAACCTTTTACTAATTTGTGATATAGAATCGATGAATTAGACTGTGGTCTGTGGATTATACTGATTGGAGCTTTTTTTATTTTGAGTTTGCTCAAATGAAATGCTCAAACGCAACGCAAGACTGAATTGACGGTATACGTGTCAAGTCAAATTTGTAATGTGCCGGTGAAAAAATAATTCATTGAAATGAATTTGTATATTAAATTTACACTAGGTTAGTATACATTTTGCCCGTAAGTAATTGTATTTTGGTATTCATCTTTTAATTTTATTTCAGTTTGCTTATTATTCGGAGTATTCAGCACTATAACACAAGCCAGTATAGGAGGTTATATTGGTGCATCAGATAAAAAAAAATTTTTGACCACGTTAGCTAAAGCTTTTACAATCGAGCAAGATGACATCTCGAAGTCTTATTATGCAGCTAAAGGATTTAAGATTCTAAATGAACCATATTCCAAAACTTATATTTCGGAACAATGTGCTCATATCAAACAATATTATACACCTACAACCAATGTAGATGTTACTTTCAATGCTCTTAATACTTGGTCTTTATTAAGCTGCCAGGGAAAATTACATACTGATGCTAGTATTAAGGTATGTATCTTCCTTAATTTATAATTTTTTAGTTTTGAAAATATAAAATGGTTATTTGAATTGTTATTCCATAATTTTATATGCATTTTAAAAGTTGTATTGTTTATTTCTGAATTTGAAATAACTAGAAAATTTTTAAATTAAGTATCTTTACATAGTTTAAAATTTTTAAATTATCTACCAGTTTATAAAAATTTTCATTTAATAATGATGAATTTCAAATAAATTCTTATTTCAGAATATTCAGTCTATATTAGAAAGTGAAAAATCAACAATACCTGAAATTCGATACGCACTGGAGATCTTTACACATATTAAACATCAAATTCTAAGTCCTGCCAAAATTGCCCAACTCATTCAGGCTAGATTGAAGGAGGATGATGGCTTGCTTAATGTAGGACATGCTCTTCATGCAGCATCCCTTCTAGGAAATGCTGGGAAATTTGCGCACGACCGCATAGAAGATGTAGTTGTACAGGCTGATGAAATTGATAACAAACTTCTTCAGTGGGAGGGTGGTCTTACTACTACATCTTTATTAATTACAGGTTTACTTCGTTTACCAGGAGCAAATCCATTTACACAGATTCAGGCTGACAAATTAGCCAATTACCTATTGACAAGGAAAACAGTGCAAACTCCGAAGGGCATTGTTTCTTTATTAGAGGCAGCAGTTGCTTTAGCTTCTAGCAGTGTTTCACCTGTTAGTATATCGGTAATAGGATCAGCACAGATACCCCAAGATAAGCCTGAGTTACGTGTACAGGTGAGTGATGTATTCGGACAGCCTTTAAAACCTGCTCCAGGACCAGTAATTGCTCAGTCTGCTACAAGAATATCTGATGACGTGGTGGTGCTGGCTAAACAACAGTTAGTTACTGGAAAGACACCGACTGAGTTTATTTTGAACCTGAAATTGGACCCTGGATATTATCGGGTTGCGGTAAATGCTGGAAGTCACTCGTCAACAATTACTACTAGAGTTTTAGGACCACTTACTATAAATTCCTTTGAAATTGGCCTAAGTGATGCGGATGGAAGTTCAATTCCTAAACTCATGAAACTGACATATTCTACAAAATTAGATTCAAAGCTGCAAGCGGATTCAAGTCAGCACCTTATAGTTAAATTTTCTGTTTCAAGAACTGTTCATCAAGCTTTCTTGAGATTGTATTCTGGCAAGAAAGAAATTATTTTCGTCGCTGAACAGGACAGTAGCAAAGTTTATAAAGTTGAAGTAAATCTGGCTTCAGAATTATCCTTCACTGATAGTTTTGAAATGGAACTTATCTTGGGCGATCCAATCGTTACGAATCCAATTCGTTGGACGTTGGGAGCTATTGAAGTTAACCTGGGTTCCTCAGAAATTTCAACTCCTCCAAGATCAACACGAGGACCAAAACCTGAAATCGAACATTTATTCAGGCCAGCAGAAAAACGTCCACCAGAACCAGTGTCTTTATTTTTCACAGGACTAACAACTGCTCCCTTGCTAATCTTGCTAATGTTGTGGGCTAAGATTGGTATTAACTTTGGCAACTTTACTCCCTTGGCAGTTCCTTTCCACTTAGGGTTTGGATCAATATTGGGGCTGTTTACATTGTTCTGGTTGAAACTAGACATGTTCATGACATGTGCTTGGCTGATACCTATTGGGGGTTTCACCTTTTTAACTGGTCATAAGTTACTAAGTAATCTTGCTAAGCAGAGAAAACCAGAAAAGTCTGATAAATAATTATTTTAATTTCCACTTTGTGTTCTGTTCTTTGTTATACATTTTTTTCCATAACTTAATTATAAAATAGAACTAAAAAATTCAAAAAGTAGATGTACAGCACAGAGATTTTTTTAAATAAACATTAATTTACGATAATTTTGGTTTGTTTTTACCAATTCACATTAAAAAATTATGAAAACATTTAATAGAGTCAATGTCAGTCTATCAATTTGCATAAATATTTTCCACATTTAAAAATAATTCAATATACAGGGTGTCCGCGTTTTTTGTAGCAGGACTTTCACAACTTGTACTAAAAGTCCTTTAAAAAAAAGTTCATGTAAACATATATGTATAGATGCGTCGTTTTCGTTCAAGTTTAAAATGAGAATTGATTTTTTATTCGTAAAACGAAAACCCCTTTTTAGACTTTGTTGAAATTTGGCAACTTTGTAATAATAATACTCATTTTCTCACATAATTTATCCTATTTTCTCCAGTGGCTTCACAAGATACCAGCTTAATAAAAATAGAAAAATATATGGTACGCCACTGCTTTTTGGTAAGTTTGAAATTTTTCTCAGATTTAGCTATCAAAAATACAACTTTTTTTGTTATTTAATTTTTCTCCTATCTCGCTTTGTTTAGTCAGAAATAAAACATTTTCATGAATAGGCTCGAGATTTGCTTAATTTATTTATTTACTTGTTACAAAGTGTGCCGTGAATATGTCTGTTTTTGAGTTGCCAAGGATTTTTTGTTGGGACCTTACATCCTGCCCAATAGATTAAGCGGTCAATTATTTCTTGAATTTTTAACTACCTAGCATGATAACATGCTATACGATGTTCCTTTTCAACAAAGAATGGACTCGTTTTTTCAATTAGATGGATGCCCCTGCCCTACTCTTTGGTGGTACGAAACTGGCTGAATACAGAGTATCCACAGAGATGGGTGGATCGTGGAGGTCCAGTTGGGTGGCCTCCGCGATCGCCTGATCTAACGCCTTTGAATTTTTTTTTTTTTTGATTTATTAAGGATGCAGTTTACTCTACGCCTGTTAACTCGCAAGAGGAACTTGTACGACGAATCCGGAACGCTGCTCTCAGAATAACTCCACATCATTTGAGAGACGTTAGGCGGTCTTTGATACGTCGCTGTAATTTGTGTGTAGATCGAAATGGCAGGCATTTCGAACAGCTCCTTTGAGGTCTATTTATACAATAAGTTGTTTTCCCATACCATGTTGTTTATTTTTTTTATTATCTTACAATAAACTGTGAAACAAAAAGTTTTATTTCTGTCTAAACAAAGCGAGATAGGAAAAAAGTAAATAACAAAAAAGTTGTATTTTTGATAGCTAAATCTGAGAAAACTTTCAAACTTACCAAAAAGCAGTGGCATACCATATTTTTTTCTATTTTTATCAAGCTGGTATCTTGTTGTGACGCCACTGGAGAAAATAGGACAAATTAAATTATGTGAGAAAATGAGTATTATTATTACAAAGTTGCCAAGTTTCAACAAAGTCTAAAAAGGGGTTTTTGTTTTACGAATAAAAAATCAATTCTCATTTTAAACTTGAACACTCTGTAAATCGAAAACGACGCATCTATACATATATGTTTACATGAACTTATTTTTAAAAGGACTTTTAGTACAAGTTGTGAAAGTCCTACTACAAAAAACGCGGACACCCTGTATATTAATATCGATAACATAATGCATTCAAGTAAACACATATGCCATTGTTTAGTAGTACATTAATACTTGAGTAGTGTAAATTAGAAACCATACTTTTTAATCCAAATTGTTTAAAATCTGCTTTTTTTTTTTAATTTTTCTATCTACCCAATGGACCTTTTCCACATTTAATTAATAATAAATTAAATAGGTAAGTATACGTTATACATGTTACCCTAGACTGATTAAGAAAATATTGACTATTTTATTTTTCAAAATCCCCTCTGAAATAAATTCAGGGAGATGGGAAGAGATGCCTGTAAAAATCGGAAGTCTTAATATTAATATTTAGATGTCGCATATCACGATTTTCTATTTTCCATTTAAATAACATGGGAAAAGTTATTTTTAAATTTCAGAATTTTATATCTTAAAAACCAATAGACGGGTTTAAATGACCGAAACGTATTCTTGCAGTCAAAATTGATAACAGTTTAAAATTTTCCACTATCACAACCGAAAAATCATTTATAATTTGTAGAGAAATAATTTTAAAAAATTTCAAAATATATTGAATACAGTAAAAAGTATTTTAATTGATTCGCCCCAGAAATGGTGGGTTTATCAGTCGTATTAATTTGAAAGACTTGATAAGCTTATCAATTTTGACTTTTAAATGCCTTTTTTATAATATTTCATGATAACTTTAATCATTTTACCTGAAACTGGAGAAAAAAGTGTAATTATAACATAAATTTAACGTTGAATTTGAATAACTTTTGTACGAGTAGGTTTATCAAAAAATTATAAGGGACATTTTTTGTAGAACGTTCAATTCCCTACAAGAATACGTTTTGGTCATTTAAATCCGTCTATTGGTTTTTAATAGAAAATCGCGATGTGCGACCTCTAAATATTAATATTAAGAGTTCCAATTTTTACAGGCATCTCTTCTCACCTCCCTGAATCTATTTCAGAGAGGATTTTGAAAAAAAATAGTCAATTTTTTTTAATCAGCCTAATGTTACCACATAAATGGTATTTAGTTCATAATTAATATTTTCAGAACTTAGAGCTACATTATTTTTTTTATTACATTATTGTTAGGTTGTAAATAGTATATTAAACAAGTTTAGAAAAGCAAAGTTTAGTATGAGCGAGCACAGGGAGCGAGTAACTTAAAAGCTATATGAGTTTAGTAAAACTGCTTTTCCTACGAGATTTGTTTATACCTACTATTTTTTTTTATTTTGTGTTGGTAGGTAATTATAAGCAAAATGCAAATATTCATAATGTGGTGTCCATAAATTAAACATCCTTTTCGGTTATCCAAAGCCAAGTTAAATCCATAAGACATCCTTTTCTATAGTTTTATGTACCTATATCCCAAAAGGTGTAGTAATTTCTTCAATAAAATGAATTATTTGACTATTTTAAATGGATTACATTTTACAAAGATTTAAAGCGACAAAAAAATTGGTAAATTAAGAAAAAAATCTCCTGAATTTAGTGATTGCTATTTTTTTCCAATTAGTTTGCACTGTGTGTTTGCTGTTGTGAAATAAGTATGCAACATAAATTTTTCTAAATTAATTTTCAGATGTTTATCAGAGTTTAATATAAAACAAGTTAATGTTATTGATCGTTGAAAAATTCAAATCAAATTGCAATATGTGAAAAAGGACCATAATGGGTTAATGTAGAGGGGGTTACATATATCAATAAAATTCAGTGTACGAAGTATTTTTTTATTAATAAGAATTATATCAATAATTAATTATAACAATGACAAAATTTGGTAAATTGTAAATCGAATATTTGGGATCAGCTAGAGGATATAAATCGTATTTTTCCTTGTACTTATTAAGCACAATGAAAAAAATTGGTGCACCTTGTAATTAAAGATTATGATATGAGTCTGGAAAAAGTATTATAAAATTTATTATAAGACCTAGCTTTTTGTGCTACAAATAAAAAAACATACAATTTGAATAATATACCTATATAACAATATAGCAACAAATGCTTTAATAACATATTATATATTTGTAAAATTTGTTTCTATACCAATTCTAAAAACTCTCATATGGAAATTTTACTTCATTAACAGAAAATATACAAATTTTTATTTTACTTGAATAATGTTCCGTAAGCAATGTACAAGTAAAATATCTTAAAGTATTTGGTCTCACTGGTTGTTATGGTTTTAGATTCAGACACTGCATATTAACAAGTTACCATTATTGAAAATTCATGAAAATATGCTTTATCTGGTTTTATATACAAAAAAATAGACAAAGGATGTTTCAATAAGGCAGGTCGTTTTATTTTCCCATTTTCAATACGAAGGTAACCTGAAATACAGTTTAAGAATCTAGGGCAAATTAGCGTCTACAGAAGTACTCACTGTCGAAGCAAACTTTCAAAAGGGGTATGTGGGGCCTACAGGGTTGCTCTAAAAATACTATCTGGCTAAGATTATGGTCTAGAATGAGAAACTGGTGATAGTGGAAACATGGCAGTAAATCTTTCATTTTAGAGCTCTGCAGCCATTGTTGATCCTTTCTTCTACATCTATGTTGAAGTTGAACTTACACTGTCTATGAAACCTGTTCCTCAACTAGATTAAGGATGATTTTCGATATAACTATACTGGTATTAAATAATGCAGCAAGTCTTACAGATTTGCCAATGTATTTTTAACATTAAATGAATGAATTAATCTTAGTATTTTTAGCTAATGCGGCAGTCCTGAATTGTTTCTCCATATTTTGAGAACAGAGGGTACCTATATACATAAAAAAGTAAGAATAATGTAGATACGTTTGCAGGTTCGTAGAAATCATGTTTGAATTTTGAATTTCATGAATTCTGAAGGCTTACTCCATCTGAGCATTAAATCATGAAGTATTATTCAAATGGCATGTTCAGCAACTGAAGTCTCTTTTTCTAGACATTAAGCTAACAATATAATAATCCTATTAAATTGTGATAAGTTGACCCATTTTTGAAAAATTCTGATTTACATATGAGGAGGCAGTTACAAAATTTTATAAAATTGGTAGATGCATCGAAAAAAAATTATAAAACAAATAGTTTTATTGTGATAACACTTGGGTCAATTTTAAGTTTGCTCAAGATGATCTAGGTACGTTTATTATAAAATATGTTCTTCAAAGTATGTTATATTTAGACTATAAGCACATAAGTGCTACAAATTCGCTTTTATATGTAAAGTTGAATTTCTCGACAACTGTTTGATTTATCAAAATTAAAGAAGAGTATCTCTTTTTCTTAATAGTATAGAGATCAATATTTTTCAGACGTATCTTAATAGGAAATAAACGTACGTATCCCAAATCTAAATTTAAAAGATACTGAAAAAATATATTTATATCATCGC